TTGACCTGCTGCCCACGCTGCTTTTGATGCAGCCCAGGACACAACTGGCTTTCTGGGCTGTGAGCACACATGGCCAGCTCATGTCCAGCCTCTCATTCACCAGCCCCCCCTAAAGGTTACACATGATTGGACACTAGTACAGTATCTGGGTGTGCTTTCACACAGTCTTTCAGCACCTCCATTGTTCATCCTGCAACAGATCTTCACTTTACCAAGAAAACAAAACAATGGAAAAGGAAAGAAAAGAATCTTTTGTCCCCGTATTGAATTTTTAACCAAGCAGTTGCTATAGCAATATAATTTCTCAAAACACTAAAGTAACAGCTCCTGAGAGCTACCTCCGCTCCTGTGAAACATTTTTTTGTTTCAATTTCTCTCACACTCCATTTAAAGAAACTGTAAGTCTCTACTCCCACCACCAAAATATTCAAAGTTAATTTGGAAAACAGAACAAAAAAGGGATTGACCTATTTTCCTACTTTTTTTTGCACCTCCCACTGTTTTAGCATTCCCATCCTACATTAGTGATATGATGTGTACACTTTGATGTTCAGTGAGAGATGCTATGGGATACACATTCTACTGTACACAAGCTGGATAGAGGCTGTAGGTGATACACTGCTGACAATGCCTCTGGTTTGGCATAGATGAGAATCTGACTCTATCTTGTGCCGTGTCTTTGTAATTCACTTGGATCAGGCTTTTTACATATCATTTGATACAGTTTTTTCCTTAGTGTTTTCTGTTTGGTTTTTGGTGGTGGTGGTTTTTTTTTTGTTTGGTTTGTTGTTTTTTTCTCCAAAGTCACAGTCCAGAATGGAATTTATGTGAATTATCTTTGTTACTTTTAATTACAGCTGAACAGCCAAAACTTCCCTGAGTCAGCTTAGGCTAGCAATTTGACAGTAACACAGCCAAAAAGAAAAACCTTTATGATATGCACAATGTGTTTCACTCTCTTTCCCCTTATCAGAGGATCCCTTATCAGACACTACCTTGGATCAGCAGCACTGGGGACCCTGTAGGTGCAAAGGAGTTGGTGGCCTTGGGCAGGGGTAAGCTGACATCTTGCAGGGCTCAGGGACCACCAGGAGCTGCTGTCTCATGCAGAAGGAAAACCCTGGCAACTGTCAGCACTGGCCTATGGGTGCACAGGCTGTCCCAGCTCCCGCTGAGCTCAAAGCCCTTCTTCGCTTTCCTTCCCTGTAGCCTTGCTCCGTGCAAGCAGATTTTCTGGCTCTGAGGTTGTGCCGGTTCCAAGCCCCCTTATACTCCCACCCATGTTCTCCCTCTGTGCTGTGTGGAGGTGTGAGAAAACAAATAGTTTGGTCCCTTACCAGCTTAGAGAACTTGACTGATAGTGACACTGATGAAATTGGTAATTAATATGGAAAGCGGCCCAAGAGTGACACTGCTGAAGGCTGTCACCAGACTTACCAGAGTGCTTTCAGTAGCGTCATTCTCTGTGAATGGAAACAGGAAGTGGAATATATTAATCTTATAACTCAAATTCACACTTCCTTTCACTTTTTTTCAGTTATTCTGAAGTCAGATGTGTTAGAGGCTCAAAAATAAACCAAAAAAGGAAAAGGGCAGCCAGGTGTCTGTTAGCCTACAATCATGTGAGTCAGGACTGACTGCAGTGACATTAACAAAGTGAAGCTTATGTTTAGCTATGTCAGAAAGGAAAAATGATCTGGGGTGATGCAAGTTGTGGCTAATGGCTGGACTAGATGATCTTAAAGGTCTTTTCCAACCTTAATGATTTTAAGATTCTAAAGAAAACAGATTAAATGAAGTCTGAAATTCCACCAGCTAGGTCACCACAGTTCACTGAAAATCCCCCAACTTACAAAGCTGAGCTATATATTTGCTGGACATTTGGCAGATGGATTCTGCTTTAAGTGAATTATTGATAGACAAATTCACCTCTGCTGTTATCAAGCTGATAGCAGTATCATTTGGCACTGACATTTCATAGCCTGTGGATATTAATTAAATTACCATCACAGCCCTTTTAATTATCCATATTCTTATCATACAGATTTGAAGTGAGATAGGAACTACAGTGACTCACTGAGACCATACACTAATGTTTTTAGGCATTGTCTGTGGTGAAAATGGAATTTGAATGCATGCCTTTCTTCTTGCCATTAAATAGACATTTGAATTTCATAAACTCTTCTGTAAGGAATGTCCTTGCTTTGGGAAGAGTTCCTGTGGATTTGCCTATAGAGCCATCAGGAATTCTAAGTGGAGTATTCAGTAACAATAATACATAGCATGGATTGGAGCCTGGATGACATTTACCATGTCCTATGCTTCCTGTAACACTGCAATTTTAAACAGAACATAGGTGTTCACTTTCATATAGTAAGTTTGGTCCAACTGGGTCAACAAAATTTGGAGAAAGAATGAAAAGAAGTGTAAATTTTTAGCTATGTAAGAATAATGAAGTAAATACACAAATGATTGAAGTACAGGACACTGTAGTCTCTACATCTAGAAGTTTCCTCATTTCTCCAAAGGATTGTGATTTGAACACACAGATTGAGCATTTTGGAGCAATTGAAGGAATTAGGTACTTACATTTTATTGTCATAAAGGGATAGGACCCTGGACTTATATGAGTTTTTCATGAAGCCCAGCCTATGGGCCAGCCACTGTCATTATTTTCCTTTATCCTGAAGTGAATCTTCAGCAATGCAGGGAGGTACTATAGGAAATGATGCTATGAAAAATATCCACACATACCAATATAGGTTGGTCCAAGCTATGGCTTTCAGGAGCTTTGGTGGAATATTAAAAAAATATAAAATCTCAAGATCAAATTTTGTGGAAATTAAGTTTTTTGCATAGGGTCAGGACCCTAAGTTTACCAACAGAGTCTTCTCCTACCACCTTGGGGATTGACTACCTGCGCACAGGCCAGTGCTGACATGGTGCTGCCATGCCCAGTCTTGTACCTCGCTGATCCCAACCTTGCCTTCCTGACATGCCTTCCCAACTTGACCTCAGATCTGCCTCATCACTACAGATTTGTCTGGTGATCATGGACAGTTGGCCAGTACTGGTTACCATCACCACACCTGCTCCATGTGCCTCGCTGGGGTGCCATAGGACTGTGTGGCTTGTCAGTGATGATGCTGCCAAGTCTGCCTGGCTGTACCCTCAGCTCCTGGCCCACTGCTCCATGCAGAGTAGTCAGCTCTCCCTATTCCCCTGACACACAAGTTAAATTGCACTCAGTTTTGTTGCTTAGCTTTAGTTTTCATTATTCTTTATTCTGTAAATTAATTCTTAAATTCTTTAAAGTGCAAATAGAATTAACTTTCCAAATTTTCCAGCATGTGACAGATCTAAAAGTGAATCACTGAGTTCTTCTTTCCATGAAGTTACAGTGAGGTTTGGTTCTGCTTTTATTCCAGTGCTACAGTGAAATTTCACATTCTGTTGCAAAATGCATAGGTCAGCATAAGGACAAATCTGTGGTGAAGTAACTTGCACTGCTCCTTGCATAATTTTTCCCTCATAATATATAAGAAGGAACTACAGGAGAAAAAGAAAAAACACACCAAAACAAAATCCAGCAAATGGAAACAAAAAAGAGAAGGGAACATATTTTTCTAGAGAGGAAGGCAACAGCCAGAACAGTGACATACACAGTTCATAGGATCACAGGACAATTGTGGTTGGAAGAGACCTCAGGAATTCTTTAGTCCAACCTTCTGCTCAAGGGAAGGTCAGCTACAAGGCCAGACCAAATTGCTCAAAGCTTTGTTCAGGTGGGTCCTAGAAACTTCTCAGGATGGAGCACACAGAACACCTTGGTGCAACCTGCTCCACTGTTTGTCAGCCCTCATAGTTCAAAAGTCCTTCCTTAAATCAACTCTTACCCTTCTTGCTTCAGGTTATGCACATGATTCTTGTCCCTCCTTCTATGAGCTCTTGTGAAGAGCTTGGCTCCATCTTCTCAATACCCTCTTTGCAGGGTTGCAAGGCTGCCATTAGGTCCCCCAATGTCTTCTTTTCTCCAGGCTGAACAAGCTCAGCTTTCACAGCCTCTAAGTTCCCATTTCAGAACGTGAAATTAATTGAAAGTATAAATAGACACAAACAGCAACTCACGAAAACTATGGAAGTGCTCTTTGTAATGGAGAAAATTTTAATTTACACACAGATTGATGTTCTCATAAGAAATTTCTTACTGCTTGTGACCACTGTATGCACATCCTCCATATATGTCAGACCTAGAAGTGTGCTGAAAAGGGATGATCAAAATCTTTCCACCACACAGATTTGCTAGAGGGGAATTTTTTTTTGATGGAAAGAAAAATTCTTTCCCTATGAAACTGAAAAACTACCATTACCAAATATTCTTCCTGGCAATTGAACAAAAGTAAAAGGTAGTGAGAGGAGAAAAAAAAAAGAAACTCCCCATTGTGTTTAACTCTTTTCAGAGGCTTGGGTGCAGTTAAGTAAAAGGATATAAACCTTGCTCTATTGACTCTGAAAATGTAACCACAGTCCAGATTTAAGTCATAATAAGCAAGTCTAAAGGCTGGCCATTTATGTTGTGGAGATGTGAAACTTCACTTTTCAACCTTTCTCTTCCTCCCTTCATATATCAGGAAAAGTTTCTTTTGAGTTAAAACAGTAGTGGTTAGAATTGGTTCTTTATAAGCACTTAAAGTAATGAATCTTCCACTATCTGAAACCCAATATTGATATTGTAATGAAACTGCATAAAATATGGTTATTCATTAGAACATATATATTTCAAAGGAAACAAAAGCTGAAAAGCTTGAGAGCAGGTAAGTACCCCTGCACATGAAGTAAAAATTTTAAGAAATGGCTGATCTCAGGTGTATGCTGAAGAACAATTTGAGTCTTCACTGAAACACAGGAACCATCACAGCAGCCTAAATCACACCATGAATTTAGAGAGAAATTTACAACACTCCCTCTGTCTGCTCCTTTGTCAATCAGGACAAGGAGGACTTCAGCCTTCCTCCAGCTGAGTACATGAATGCCCATCTTGTGGGCTAGCTAGCAAACTGCAATAGAAGGCAGTTCTGTGGGGAATCCTCAGTAATTCTGTCATGTCATGGTCATTCTTATTGACTGTGCATGTGTTTGTTGCCCTTGATTTATGTACCATACCTGATTTAAAGATACGTGTTCATGCTCCATTGATTTCATTGATCCTACAGTAAGTTCTTATTGGCTCCAACTACTGGTTTTTTTTAGATTGGCATCTCTAACTTTTGGGGTATTTCCTAAGTACAGACTGGAGAAGAATTTTTCTTTCTTTTCCCTTTAGGTCATCCAATTTTGCTTTGAATGTGCTCACTCAGGCTTTTTTGACATCTCCATTTCACAGGAAGTTCTGCAGGTGATCAGGGCACTGCTTTTTGTAGCAGAACTGCACAGAGCATGGTCTTTCACTTGGTCTTCCTCACGCTTTCGTAGGCACAAGCAGCACCTCAGCACATTCAGAATGTGTGTTTGTGCAGTTTCACTCAAAAAGCAGTAAAGAATGGGGTCCGCAATGCAATTCAAACTTGTTAGGGCCTGTGTGATTCTGTAAACCTTATACATCGGCAGCAAAAGGTGTGGGTCAGTGGTGGAAGGTTCTCTGATGCTGCGAATAAGCAATATAATGTGATATGGAGTGAAGCAAACAATGAAACTAACTGTGATATTCAGAATAAGTTTCCTCACTTTTTTCTTTTCTTCATCTAGTGTGGCTTGGTTACACTTCACTACTTGGTAGATTTTATGGTAGCAAAACACAATGATTATCAAAGGGACCAAGTACCCTGAGCATATCCGAAGTAAATTTATCCGTGCCTGCCACCCTTCCAGGGGGTATGTATCATAACATAATGTATGATTAGTGAAATTGCAGGGATCACTGAATACTTCTTTGTACACCAATATGACTGAATTCAGGATGCTTTCCAGAAGCCAAACAGTTACGCTGACAATCAGTGAAAATCTTCTCGTGCGCAAGTGCTGGAGCTTCAAGGGGTGAACTAATGCCAGGTACCTGTCAACAGAGATGCAAGCAAGGAACGCGGTGCTGGTGTAGAAATTCATATACATAAGGAAGGCAGAAACCTGACAAAGTGAGGCAGAGAGTCTCCAGTCATCTCCATTCCAGGCATAATTAATCCACAGAGGTAGAATCAAAGAGTACAAAAGGTCAGCTAGAGATAGGCTAAAGATATAGACTGCTGACTCATTCTTTTTCCTCACCTGAATGCAAGATGAATAGAGGGATATGCAGTTGATGGGGACACTGATCATCATCACAACGCTGTACACAAATGGAAACAAATATTTATCCAGAGTGTGATCATCATGGCACTCAGCAGTGCTGTTGTTCATTGTAAGCCCCAAGTAGTATCTTTGGGCTAATTCCAGCCTGGGTGCAATAAAGACCCCTCTGTAGTCTGATGGGTGGTCATCTGTTACTTCAGAAGCTTGTTGACAAGATTCTCACCTTCTGTTAGTAAAGAAGAAAAATGTCAGCTATAATGTTTTTGTTTGTTTTTTTATGGGCTTCTTGGTGTGTATCTTTTTTTTTTTTTAGAAGAAAGAAACTGTGTTTGTAGGAGATTAAAGGTTTTAAACACTCCTGGAGTTAGGACTGCATAGGATGAGGCACCCAAAATCTAAGGTGTCGAGGTCAGTTAGATGCAAACTTCTACAGCAGAAGCAGGATGAGTAGTTAAGACCCTTCTGGTGGTTGGGTGGTGTCCCGTAATCCCAGGTCTGTCTTGTGGGAGAGTTGAAGGAGATCAGAAAGTGGCCTAGAAATAATAGAAAGGCACTTTCTGTTATTCTGGTAAGCATGATTTTGGGAACATAAATAACCAAATAACCTCCTCCCCTCTAAGTCAATGGAGGGACAAGGATAGAAACACAGAGATTCAATTACTGTTGGGATCTGCTCAGAAGAGGAAAATGCATGACTGGTATGTCTTCCTATTGCGAATCACTCTCTCACTGTACCTTCACACATCCCTGCTTTCTCTCTCTTCCTTTGTATGCAATCCTGCAAGAACTTGCCATCAACTGTGCTATTCCAGCAAAATTTACTGCATGTCCCAGAAACCCTCATGTGAAACCTGTTGGGTTCCTGCATGCACAGGAGAATCTGCTGGGTGTCCCTTTGACTCATGTCAGGTGGAGACTCTGAGTACAGTTGTTCATTTACACTTCTTTCCCCTAAAAATTGCAGTTGCCATGCATGAGCTATAAAACCATTAGCAATTAAGCTTATCTTAGGCATTACCAGAGCTGTGGGTTTCAACGGCTTCAACATGAATATACCAGTAAAATGGCAGCTCTGACTAAAGCAGTGGGATGGGAGGAGCTGTGCATGTGAGATGTAGAAGCAAGTTGAAGAGCTGACCTTTAAGTAAGAAATGGTGTACAACCATAGCAGTGAGAAGCTGGTACTCACTGGTTGTATCACAGCTCTGACACTCAGTAGTTCTCTTCTCTAAAGACTTAATTGTTATGTTCAGGAAATATGAGAATGGAGAATATTTGTTGTGGTCCAGTTCTACTGCCAAATATACAAACTGCTTCAGAGACTATCTGTGATAACTCATCTGTGCTTTGAGCCTGGACTACCAGCAGGGGAGGTGAAGAGGCTGAAGAAGGAGTACGTTGCAAGATAGCAATTTTGCAACTGTCCCCACATGGGAAAGAACTCAAACTGAAAACAACTCGAGTGCAGAAACCTTCCCATGTGGTAAGAAAAATTCAGCCTTTTATGGGTTTGATGCGTGTGTTTGGGGAACTTCATGGGTTTATCAGAGAAACCCAAGCAGGTTTATTGCCTCTGCTGAGAGGTTATTATATGGATTTCTTGTCTATAAAAAAAACCCCTTTCATGCCAAAAAAAAGAAAAAAGGACCAATGACAAAACTAGTCAGAAAGCAAGTATTTAATCTTACCAGCCACTGCTTTATTTGATCAAGTTGGCTAATCTTTTACAGTTAAAGCTAAATTAATTCCCAAGCTTGAAAGACAAAGAAAATTCTTGAGAATGACTTGCCAATTTGGTCCATTGAAGAACTTTACCTACATGGGAACTAACTAAAAAAAAATGCAGTGTCTGTATTTAGGACAAACATAACATCTCTACATTTCAGTGTGGTTTAATAAAACCACACGGTAAATAGGGCATTGTAAGCTTACCAGTATAGACAAGTATCACGAATTAAAAATCTAGCTCTAAAAATTGGATTGTGGGCTTTTGCTGACCCACTTCATACCAAAAACAAACAGACCAGATGAGTAAAAGATAAAATAACTACCTCTTCTTCTAATCACATTTAAGCATCTCTTTTCCTATGACAGGTCTCTTCTTGTCTAACAGGGAAACATGCCCTTTCAAAAGCATGTGTGTAATGTAGTGTATGAGGCAGTGTTTACTAGTCTCGTGACTGAGAAACTGGAATTCCTTCTCCCTCCCCCATAAACTCTTTCTCTTTTGTTAGTTGTTGTATTACAGAATCGTCATCCTTACAAGCTCCTAACTTGTCTCCATGTTGCTCACAACAGCTTCTCTCTTTCATATCTACTCACAGACCAACAATTTCCTCATACCACCCACCTTTTTTGCTTCAGCTTTCTCATTTTAGCTCATTGTTTCTGAGAGTTTTGCTCTGTTGATCTCACTGATCATAGGGTAAACCACTTGTCCTTATATTGCACTTGTCTGAATAAACCACATGTTATTTGGGGCAAGACTTTGCTTTGTTCTTCTGCCATCTGCCTTAAGGAGCTAATATCTGAAGGTATAATTGATCAATGGCAGGCTGGGCCACTGAAGATGAAATGCAAAAAAAAATGAATTGAGACCACATGAAATTTGCCATCTTGGGAAGTTTTTTCTGTCCTTCATATTCACATGTCACTGTACCCCATCTTTTTCTTTTATTTTAAAACAGTATGTTCATTAGCTTCTGTGAACGCAGCCCTGGAGACTGTTTAACATCCAGGTAATCCATGTCCCAGCTGTGATGACACATTGATGGCACTTATATGAAGACATGCTTTCAATCAGGATAATAATGAGAAGTGTGTCATTCTGGCATGTATTGATGACCTATACTTAAGTGTGTCAAAGAGCCAGCAAATGAAGCATACCACAATGCATTGCTGCAGTTTCTTGCACAGAAATATAAAGCAGAAAGCACTGTTTTTCCCTGATTACAAGAAATTCCAGTCAAATTGCTTGGGGTCTTATTTCAGAGGACGTAGTCCATATCATACTTTGTTGCTCAGTTGTTTTTCTGATAATTAGGACTTTGTAATGCAAGATGATTTTGCTTACCTTAACACCTTCCCAGGTTTTCTGTCAGCTACTGAGCGTACCTGCTGGTTTTGCCAAGGAGGATGGCATTGACTTACAGTTATTCTAAAAACCAATGTTTGATAATTTACCCCACTGATTTTTATTTAAAACAAATAAAACAAAACAAACTATAAAGGAATTTCTGTTTAATGATGTAGTTTAATGGTTTGATTTTCATGGTCCAAATCCACTGTGACTAATTCTGTAGACTTCTGACTTATTTTATAGACTTGTTTTGTTGTGAATTGCATTTCAAATGAAAAAAAAATATTTTTAACAGTAATTTTTTCTTTTAGACTCATTATTCAATTATTATCATGATTCCTGTCTCTGTCATTTTGCTACAGAAGACCTGCTGTACAAGAATTCAACGAGAACTAAAATTTAGAGAAACGGACAGGCAAATGTTATGCTTCAAGTAACATATGCAAACAAGCCCGTAAAGGAACCTTGTGAAAGTTTCTAGAGAAAGGTAGTAATTATATATTGTATTTGTATCAATGCTTTCCTACAGTATCTTCTTCAGGCTCAAAGAGAGATTTATGTAGTCTGTCCATTGATGAAATTTTGAAAGTAATAAAGTTAAATTTTCATAAGTATAGATACATAAATACATAAATACTCTTATCTGTAAACAACTTTCTAAGGGAAGAAAGGAACAGGGCTGTGTGAGCTACTGCGGTAGATGCTGTACTGGTGATATCGTACATCAACCATAAGACAGAAAGACAGACAACTTTCTGGATTTCTTTTTTCTCTTAAAGCAATTTCAACAAAGTAGATTGCTTTGTGTTCTCAAAAATAAGTTCTATTGCTAAGTTGATTTCCTTGAGACACTTCACAGTTCAGGAGAACTGAGATACACCTTTCAGTAACGTGGACTTTTTTGCTTAAAATGAACAGCATTTTTCCTCAAGCAATACTAAATTTCACCCATTGGTCTGATAAGATTCTGTAGAGACTCCAACAGGTCTTAAAGAGCTTGGCCTTTTTAACTTGGAAATATGCTTTATGGACTGCTTTATTGAGCATAAACATTCTGTTAATGTGAGCAAATAGAAAGAAAAAAGCCATGTCTTTCAGGATATAGGCCATGGAGGCAAGTATTATTTTGCTACATCATTATGTGCATCAAGATTTCCTCTATGCATGAAGAAAGATTTACAAAATATTTTCATGTACATGATACTTGGTATTCTAAGAAGCTATTTTTACTAGAGTTTATTTTTCTGCTAATTTTAAGCTTTGTTTATATCTATCTATCTATATATATCTATATATATCACTGAGTATTTTGTTAGTGCCATAAAATACTAAAGAACAATAACAGAAAATCTACTGGAATCCCCTGTGAGGCCTCAGACACTTTTTGCAGTGATGGGACAGCTCAGAATATTGAAAACTCCCTGTCATAAGCACCAGGTATTTTGATCATGGCAAAATCATTACAACAAACAAAAATCAAGCTGGCATGTCTTTCCTAAATCAATCTTTAGTTGTCATTTGCCCCTTAGTCCCATGTTTCAGTTGTGCTGAGATTCAAATAATCCTTCCCCCAGAGAAATCTTTTCCAGCTCCTTTTGTGTCCCTTCTTTTTATTGTATGATGCCAACCTCACATTAAGGGAGAGATAACTTGAAACCTGTTCCAGAATATAAGTTGTGTGTCTGACTTCTTGGATTTTGAACACTTACCTTGGCAGCCATGTGTCCCTGTGTAGCAGTGTCCCTGTTGTACCATTGGTAGTGTAACCCGTGTCTGCTTCTGAGGAAAAGTGTCTAAGTGTCTGCTTCTGCTTTATCAGATACAAGACAGGAAGCTGCTCTTAAGAAAATGAGTCACACGTTTCACACATTTCTTAATTTTTTTTGGCCTCCTTTTTTTTTTCCCACCAATTCCTTGTTAATCTAAGTTTATCCATGGGGAAAAAAAAGATTACGTAATTACAAATAAATATGCAAAAAGGATGGTACCAACCTTGCTACATCTAGGAATACTTTTAGAGAGTTTAAAAAAGTTTAATTGAAAATATTGCCTAATTTTTGCAGTTTGAGGGGTTTCTGGGGGGTCACTGCTGGCCGCTCTGTGAAGGTTTTCAGGGCTGGAATCCCCCCCCACCGCCCGTCCCTCCTGGCAGGGACAGGTGGCCGAGGTACTTAAGCCAGGAGA